CTCAACCTTCCTAATGCCTCAACCCTTTAATACAGCTCCTCATGTTGTGGTGACCCCCAACCATAAAATTATTTTCGTTGCTACTTCATAACCGTAATTTTGCTACTATTATGAATCATAATGTAAATATCTGATATGCAGGATGTATTTTCATTGTTACAAATTGAATATAATTAAAGCATAGTGATTCACCACAAAAACAGTATGTAATTATATATTGTGAAATATTTATTTCTAATTACAAATAAATGAAATTTTGTCTTAAAGCATGGTGTAGCACGGGTAACAGTCTTCACACTGGGTACTCGTATGTGGGCGTGTCTGCATGTGGGCGGCCTTGACTGGAGATGGATAGAGGAACAGTGTCTTGGTTCCTAAGACCATCGGAAATATGTGTTTTCTGATGGTCTTACATGACCCCCGTGAAAGGGTCATTCGACTCCCAAAGGGGTCGCGATCCACAGCTTGAGAAAAGCTGCTTCAGACAATGGCCCCATCACAAATTCTCAACAAGTCTTGCCCCCTTGTGGTAGGTCACGAACTTCACCAGTCAACCCGCTCTCATCTTCTCTAGTTCCTGTGAACCAGGTCTACGAGTGTCAGTGCCTAGACTCAACCTCTCTCTTTAGTGCTGCATTTTTCCCACTTCCACTCAAGTGGATCCAGGTGGTCACCTAGCAAGCATTTCAGCCTGCCAACAGGCTCCCTTTAATGTTCAGTCCTAGAGAGGAGTTTTCTTCATGGTGTGTGTGTGTGAGAGAGAGACAGAGAGAGAGAGAGCGAGATTATGTGTCTATCATTGCGATCACTTTCCCCTTCCTCCCCTCCTGCCTCCCCCTTACCCCTACCCTCCCATTTCTGTTCCTGAGGGGTTTATCTGACCTGGATTCCTTGTGCTATGAGTTCTTATCTGTGCGAGCATGAGGTGTCACCTGGATCAGGGAACAGGCATCCGAAGACCCCAAACAAACAAAGAATATATTGTTGAGAAAGAAGTGGATTGGAGAAGAGACCCCAAATCCATTTGTAGACAATGAGACATCCCCTCACAGAAGGGTCTCAAGGAAGGGATGCGTCAACCAGGGTGCAATATAGCACCAATGAAACACACAATATTCCTTTGGTTCCTTGAGGCTTCCTCACCCCCCACTCCCATGACCCCCGTCCTACCTTCCACTTCGTGCTGGACCGGAGCCTGTACACTGGTACAGATAAGTCATTATGGTTAAACATCCACTCTTCCTGTGCTTCACAGTTGGGAAGACCAACAGAAAACAATAATAAGCAAAATCCCATGAAAGGTGGTAAGGATAAAATCATAATAGTATAGGTGTTGAGTCTAGTCTGTCAATCAGATTATAGCCAAGGAGACTTTTGTGTGGGCACTCAAAAAGCCAGGGAAGAAATTTCTGTCATGGAACAAGTAAGAGATACTTTCACCCAGAACAAAATCAGGTGGTGTCTATAGGGAGGTCTCCTAGCCAAGTATTGAGTTGGATACAGCGTGATCAAGGATACCATGGTCTCTGCTGCATGGTAAGGCTGTTCGAGATTCTTGCCTGTGGCTAGAATGGATCTGCCAGTGGCTCAGCCAGACTAGATACTCTGCAGATGGGTTTTGGTCTCCCATCATCCCCCACACCCCTCCCATTTCCTGATTGTGAAACATAGCACACAACTACACAATAATTAAAAACACTCTTGTTATACAAGTACCAAGCTGTGTTTTAATGGGGGTAATGGTGATGGGGGAAAAGCTCACTGATTAAGGACAGGGTTACAATCCATTTGCAATTGCCGTCAATATATTGTATATCTATAAAAATGATAACTTGCCCGCCCCCCCCCACCATCATGATCCGAATTCTACCTTGCAAGTCTTGCAGACCAGAGGATGTACACTGGTACAGATAGGAACTGGAAACACAGGGAATCCAGGG